GCTGAGTTGGAGCGATCGTACCTTGATCGCTTGGGGGGGAAAGATATCCATCTATCCCTCCATCTCTCTACCAACGGACCAGGGGTTATGTACCCTTGTACTTCAACCCCGTGCACAATTTCTCTATCGATATCACTGTCCATTTGAATTTCGATTATACTGTCGGTCTCATAACTGAGTTTGTACTCGGCACAGCAGATCTGTTTGTCGAGTCCTTGAACATTTCTGACGCCACAAAGGGAATCATGGAGTCCACCAAAAACCACCAAGAATCTCTTGGTGGATCCTGAAACCTACCAGGAACCCCAGCGGGAACCATCGAACCCTCCTGGGCCCCGTGACAGGTGCTGAGCCCATCCCTCGATCCCTCCTTGAAGGCACCTGGGAAACCTCCCAAACCCTCCAAGATTCTCCGGGGGAGCCGTGAAACTCTCCAGGCGACCCCCAGGGGGACCATCGGACCATCCGAGAACCACTCGTAAGAAAGTGCCTAAAAATCTCTGGGGGATACCTTCGGACCCTGGATGAATTTCAAGGTGGGATCTTGAAGCCCCCAAACCCTCCCAGGAACCACCGCGGGGAACCTACGTGAATGTCGACTGGTCCCCCGCGCCAGCGCCCTGGGATTCGCCCGAATCCATCTTCATAACATTCCTCTTCCTCCTCCTCCTCCCCATCCCCCTCCTCCTCCTCCTCCTCCTCCTCCTCCTCCTCCTCCTCCTCCTCATACTCTTCCTCGTCCCCCTCCTCATTGTCCTTTCCCTCCTAGTCCTCCTTGTCCTCCTGTTATTCCTCCTCGTCCTCCTCCCCCACGTCCTCCCCCATCCTCCTCCTCCTCGTCCTCCCCGTGCCCCTCCTCCTCGTCCTCCTCCTCGTCCTCCTCCTCCTCCTCCTCCTCCTCCTCCTCGTATTCCTCGTAAGGAAATCGGTAACCCCAGAGGTTACCGACCCTGTCCTCGGCCCTCGCTCGGCTTTTCTCGTATCTTTCCAGGGGCCTGCCTCCTCTCTCGGGGAGGAAAGGGGGGGGGAAATCGGTAACCTCCGGAGGTTACCGACATTGTCCTCGGCCTTCGCTCGGTTTTCCTCGTCTATTTTAAGGGGCCTGCCTCCTCTCTGGGGAGGGGGGGGAAATCGGTAACCTCCGGAGGTTACCGATCTTGTCCTCGGCCCTCGCTCGGTTTTTCTCGTATATTTTCAAAGGCCTGCCTCCTCTCTCGGCGAGGAAGGGGGGGTGGGGGGGGAAATCGGTAACCTCCGGAGGTTACCGATCTTGTCCTCGGCTCTCGCTCGGTTTTTCTTGTATATGTTCAAGGGCCTGCCTCCTCTCTCGGGGAGGAAGGGGGGGGGGAGGGGGGAAATCGGTAACCTCCGGAGGTTACCGACCTTGTCCTCGGCCCTCCCCTCCCTTGGTTTTCTTGTCTGTTTCCAAGGTCTGCCCGCTCCTCGGGGAGGGGGAGGTAAGGGCCCCATTCTCGGTGCGCATGTCCTCGGCCCGCGGCCCCTTCTGGTTGCGCGGGCATGTTTCTTGCGCTGGTGGTGTCTGTTGGGGGAGGAGAATCGGTAACCCCCGGAGGTTACCGACTCACTCTCCGAGGGGGAATCGTTAACCTCCGGAGGTTACCGACTCACTCTCCGAGGGGGAATCGGTAACGCGGGACAGCGGGCCGAAGCAGGCCGAGCAGGTGATGCTGCTGCCAAGTCGAAAGAGGCCCCGAGCGATTGCTACTGTACATGGTACTGCACACGGAAGCCTCTCAGAAGCCTCTCAGAAGCCTCTCAGAAGCCTCTCATCAGTCTCTCAGAAGCCTCCCAGAAACCCATTCAGAAGCCTCTCAGAAGCCTCTCAGAAACCTCTCAGAAGCCTCTCAGAAGCCTCGCAGAAGCCCCGCAGAAGCCTCTCAGAAGCCTCGCAGAAGCCCCGCAGAAGCCTCTCGGAAGCCTCTCATAAACCCATTGAGATGCCTCTCGGAAGCCTCACAGAAACCCATTCAGAAGCCTCTCGGAAGCCTCTCAGAAACCAATTCAGAAGCCTCTCGGAAGCCTCTCAGAAACCCATGCAGAAGCCCCTCGGAAGCCTTTCAGAAACCCATTCAGAAGCCTCTCGGAAGCCTCTCAGACTACTCTAAGCATACCGTTCATAATACTCTCATAAGCCATTCAGAAGCCTCTCAGAAGCCTCTCAGAAGCCTCTCAGAAACCCATTCAGCAGCCTCTCAGAAGCCTGTCAGAAACCCATTCAGAAGCATCTCAGAAGTCTCTCAGAAACCCATTCAGAAGCCTCTCAGCAGTCTCTCAGAAGTCTATCAGAAACCCATTCAGAAGCCTCTCAGCAGCCTCTCAGAAGTCTTTCAGAAACCCATTAAAAACCATTCAGAAGCCTCTCAGCAGTCTCTCAGAAGTCTATCAGAAACCCATTCAGAAGCCTCTCAGCAGCCTCTCAGAAGTCTCTCAGAAACCCATTAGAAACCCATTCAGAAGCCTCTCAGAAACCCACTAGAAACCCATTCAGAAGCCTTTCGGAAACCCAGTAGAAACCCATCCAGAAGCCTCTCATAAACCCATTCAGAAGCCTCTCAGAAGCCTCGCAGAAGCCCCGCAGAAGCCTCTCGGAAGCCTCTCATAAACCCATTCAGAAGCCTCTCAGACACCCATTCATAAGCCTCTCATAAGCCTCTCAGAAACCCATTCAGAAGCCTCTCAGAAGCCTGTCAGAAACCCATTCAGAAGCCTCTCAGAAGCCTGTCAGAAACCCAGTCAGAAGCCTCTCAGAAGCGTTTCAGAAACCCATTCAGAAGCCTCTCAGAAACCCATTCAGAAGCCTCTCAGAAGCCTGTCAGAAACCCATTCAGACGCCTCTCAGAAGCCTCTCAGAGACCCATTCAGAAGCCTCTCAGAAGCCTCTCAGAAGTCTCTCAGAAACCAATTAGGAACCCATTCAGAAGCCTCTCAGAAGCCTCTCAGAAACCCATTCAGAAGCCTCTCAGAAGCCTGTCAGAAACCCATTCAGAAGCCTCTCAGAAGTCTCTCAGAAGTGTCTCAGAAGTCTCTCAGAAGTCTCTCAGAAGTCGCTCAGAAGTCTCTCAGAAGCCTCTCACATATTCTACCTGGGAATGAAGCCTGGGAAGGGTTGTCCCGGGGAATGTTCGATTTTCCCGGGGAATGTTCGATTTTCCCGGGGAAAGTATTTTTGTCCTCCGTCGTTTGGGGCTGCTGGGGCAGGGGGCGATATGCATACACAGATATATATATATATATATATATATAGATACATATGTATATTTGTATATCTATATGTATGTACGTATGTATGTATGTATGTATGTATGTATGTATGTATATATGTATGTATGTATGTATGTATGTATGTATGTATGTATGTATGTATAAATGTATGTATGTATGTATATATGTATGTATGTATATATGTATGTTTGTATGTATGCATGCATGCATGCATGTATGTATGTTTGTATGCATGTATGTATGTATGTATATATATATATACACGTATATATATATATATATATATATATATATATCTACATACACATATGTGTGTATGTAAAAAGGCAAAAGAATAACAGTGCATCTATACGCAGATACATCATTAACTAAATTGGGAAGGGGCCCTGGGGGGCCAGGAGTGCACTGATTTGTCTTCCGGCCGTTTTGGACCCGGCGGGGGTGCCAGAACGCGTCAAAGGAGGTAAGGGGGGTGGCGAGAGGGCCGGAGAGACGTTCAAGAGGGTGCCAAGATGGCCCAGGAGCGCTCCAAGAGAGCCCAAGACCGCACAAGAGCGTTGAAACATTGGTCCAACATGGCTTGAAGACAGCCCAAGAAGGCTTCAAGACGGCCAATATGCCCTCAAAAGGTCTCCCACGAGGCACTCAGGAGGCGAAACAAATAGGTTTGTTTCTGATTTTTGGGGGCATTTCGTGTTCTCGCTGCACCGTGCTTCCGACGGCCCAAGACAGCCCACGAGGTCCCGGTCCCAGACATCAGCTCAAGACAGTCCAAGAGGCACCCAAAGAGGGCGCCACGGTGGCGCAAGAGAGTCCCAAGACGGCCCAAGAGAGCCCCAAGACGGCCTAAGAGGCGCTCGAGATCGCCCAAGAGGGCCCTCCGTAGCCATTTTGGCTCAAACCTTTTGGCTCAAGCAGACTCTCCCTTCCGTGCTGTACACGCTCGAGCGAGCTCGCCTCGCTCCATTGCCAGCAGCCCGTTCGCTCCACTCACGAACAGTATGCTTCCGATGGGGCTTTTTCGCGCTAGCGTGGCCATTCTCTATTTCATCGTGCGCGCGAAGGCGCTCGGAGGTGATCCAGCGGCGATGCGCATGGTCATCGAGGATGGCGATGGTCCATTCAAAGAGCTTTCTGAGGTCGAGCTCGTTGAGGCCGTAAATACCACGCTGCGCGTCGAAATTGGCGCCCCTTCTCCAGCGGCGATGCGCATGGTCATCGAGGATGGCGATGGTCCATTCAAAGAGCTTTCTGAGGTCGAGCTCGTTGAGGCCGTAAATACCACGCTGCGCGTCGAAAGTGGCGCCCCTTCTGGGCGGGCAGGTGCGTGGTCGTCGGCAGTGTGCAAAAAATTCTGTTATGGCACGATGTACGACTCTCCGATGTTCCAGGCGCCGGGGGCTGCTAATATACCCGCGGGGGTGATCGGAATGCAGTGGGCGCGTCAGCCCAACGATAATGCGGCCGAAGGCTACGGCTGTGTCGTCCGAGAATTTAATGGTGGTGTGGGAGGTTACTGGACAAGTGTGCTGTGGTATTCGGATGAGTGCGCGGGTTCCTCCATTATCTGGTTCGGCCCGGCGACATGGGAGGCTCCAGCTCCTATCGGCACGAATTGGTGGGCGACGCATGGTTGCCGTTACCCTGCCGGAACCCGGGTATGCGTGCGCGCCCGCTATTTTTTCCAGACTCCACAGCCGACGCCATCTCCGACGCCCAACCCGACGCCGTACCCGACGCCGAACCCGACGCCGAAGCCGACGCCGAACCCGACGCCGAACCCGACGCCATACCCGACGCCGAACCCGACGCCGAAGCCGACGCCGAACCCGACGCCGAACCCGACGCCATACCCGACGCCGAAGCCGACGCCGAACCCGACGCCGAACCCGACGCCGTACCCGACACCGAAGCCGACGCCGAACCCGACGCCGAACCCGACGCCGTACCCGACGCCGAAGCCGACGCCGTACCCGACGCCCAACCCGACGCCGAAGCCGACGCCATACCCGACGCCGTACCCGACGCCGAAGCCGACGCCGAAGCCGACGCCGAACCCGACGCCCTACCCCACACCCTACCCGACGCCCTACCCTACAGTTTTCCCAACGCCCTACCCCACGGTTTTCCCAACGCCCTACCCCACGGTTTTCCCGACGCCCTACCCGACGGCCTACCCCACGGCTTTCCCAACTTCTTACCCCACGGCTTTCCCGACGCCTTACCCGACGGCCTTCCCGACGCCCTACCCGACGGGTTTCCCGACGGTCTACCCCACGGCTTTTCCGACCCCCTACCCGACGTCTTTCCCGACGCCCTTCCCGACGCCCAGCCCGACGCCCAGTCCGACGTATCCTCTGGGTTGGCCGACGCCAAGTCCAACGTCTCTTCCCGCAGCTCCCATGGCGGGCGGAGCCGCTGGAGGCGTGGCTGCCACCGGCGATCCGCACCTTCAAAACGTTCACGGCGAGCGGTTCGACTTAATGAAGCCGGGCAAACATGTTCTGATAAACGTCCCTCGTGGAGTGAGCGCTGATGACGCATTGCTTCATGTGCAGGCCGATGCGCGCCGATCGGGTGGAAGTTGTTCGGATCTGTACTTCAAAGAACTGAACATTACAGGCTCTTGGGCAGAGGCTAAGCAAGCCGGAGGGTATCACTACAGCGGACGGCAAAGCTCCGCGACGATTCCGCAGTGGGTTGCTGTTGGTCCGGTCGAGCTGAAAGTCGTCCATGGACGCACAGAGAGTGGCATTTGGTATTTGAATGTGCACGTGAAGCATTTGGGGCGATCAGGGTTTGCCGTCGGAGGCTTGCTGGGGGAAGACGACCACAAAGAGGTGATGACTCCCCCAGCGTCTTGTACCAAGCGCACGTCTTTGCAAGAAGTGGTGACGAGTGGCCAGGCTCCTTCCCCCGAGTCGCCAGTTGCAACCGCAACCTTTGCGTGACCATGCGGGATGCTTGAGAAGTAGGCATATGACAAGTGCGCCCTTTCGGGCGACGCATGCGGCAGTGTTTTCCATTGTGCTTATAGGAGGGCTGTCTCTTTTACAGGGCCTCTGAGACTTCTGTGCATGGTTCGTGCCACTTTGCACCAATCTCAGCGGCTGCCTGTCAGCAGTTTGTTGCCACTCCGCGCTGTCGCATGCTCCCGTTGCTCGCCGAATCGAGCTGGCATCCTTGACAGCCGTCCTGCCCCGACCTGCAACGGCTGACAAAAGATGGCTGCTTCCCTGGACGGTCGTTCCCTAGCTTCAAGGGCTGAGACCAGGGGGGCTTGCTTCCTCCGCCCTCCCTCACCCTCCCTATCCTCCGCCTCCTCCTCGGTCGGTTCCCGTTTTGTCCGTTTCCCTATGTTCCTCGCTTGTCGGACCGAGGGGCATGAGTTGGCGGTGGGCGAGAGGCGCAGGCTCAGGTGTGCCGTCCAAGTTTTTTTCAGGGAGTCGGAAGAAGGAACGACAGCAGGTTTAGGGGGCCACATGCGAACCCTACCCTTACCCCCCACGATTTCTGAGGGAGAGGGTGGGGTTCACTTCATTCGGGAGCCCCCGAGCGAAGTGAACCCCACCCTCCCCCTCAGAAATCGTGGGGGGTAAGGGTAGGGTTCGCATGTGGCCCCCTAAGGTTCTGAAACTTCTGTGCTGGGCTCGACCAATTCGCACTTCTGTCAATGGCTCTCTGCTGTGCAGGGCTTCTGATACTTCTGTGCGCAGCTCGCGCCAATCTGCATCATTTTCAGTAGCTGTCCGTTGCCCAGGGCTTTGAGACTTCTGTGCAAGGCTCGCGCCAACTAGCACCACTCTCAGGCTGTCTGTTTTACAGGGCTTCTGAGACTTCTGTGCATGGCTTGTGCCACTTTGCACCGCTTTCAGTGGCTGCCCAGCAAAGACATGAGATCGCCCAAGAGGGCCCCAACATGGCCCCATGAAGGGCCCAAGAGGGGGAACACGAACATACATTTTGGTACCTCTGGGATTCATTGGGGTTCCAGGGGCCTCTGGAGCTCTCTGGCTGATGTCGTCGCCGTCATCGCTGCTTCCGCCGACGCCGCCGCCAACGCCGCCACCGGACGCTGGCGCGCGCTACCTGGGCGCTCCCACGAGCTTCTGGCCTGGAGGTTGGGAGGCATCCGAGGGGGTGTCGAATCGCGATCCGCGCCAGCGGTGCGTCCCGGGGGATTCTGTGCATCCTTCGGGTTTCTGCTGGCCCGCGCCAGCGGTGCTTCAAGGACGAACCCCCCAGGATGAGGGATCCGGGGGCGCTTCGCTCCGCGCCGGGCACCGCCGATATATATATATATATATATATATATATATATATATATATCGGAGTAGGGCCCCGGGGCGGTGCCTGTCATCTCCATGGGGTGTGCAGGGCGCCCCCGGGAGCGTCCGAAGCGTCCCGGAGGGCCCCTGGGACCGCCAGGAACAGTTCGAGACCGCCCAAGACGGCCCGCGAGCGCTCCAAGACGCGCATACATAGCCTCAGGAATTGCCAGGAAGGCCCGAAGACGTTCCAAGAGAGCTCCATGAGGCCCCGAAGGCATCCCAAGAGGCCTCCCAAGAGAGCCCCGACAAGCCAAAATCGTAGATTTTTATTGCTTTTTTCGATGTTTTTGGCCTTCTCGCTTTTTCGGAGTTCCGACGCTCCAAGACCGTCCAAGAGTCTCCCAAAACCGCTCCAAGACGGCCGAAGAGGCCCCCAAGACCGCCCCAAGACGGCCCAAGAGACCCCCAAAATCGTCCCAAGACGGCCCAGGAGAGCCCCAAGATGGCCCAGGAGCCGCCCAAGACGGTTCCAGGAGAGCCCCGACAGGGCTTCAAGACTGCCTAAGCGACCCCAGCGGTCCCCAAGAGGGCCCCGCGAGGCCCCAAGAGGCCCCAAAGAGGCCCACAAGCCTTCTTGGAGGCCCCCAGAGGCCCCCAAGATGCCCAAAAATGGCTCTGAGCGCGCCCCAAGACGCCTCCAGGAGAGCCCAACAGGCCTCCGAGAGGCCCCCAAGAGGCCCACTGGAGGCCCTCAGGAGGTCGTCCCCATCATGTTCCCGGAAGGCGGTCCGGGAACATGATTCCGCGCCCTGGAGGAGTATTTTGCGCTTTCCGAGGCGCATTCCGAGGCGCCCTGGACGACGTACGTATGTTTCTATAGATTGTCCATCTCCTGTGTGCACAATCCTACATGTTTTACGTATGTTTCTCTCTCTCTCTCTCTATATATATATATGCATGTATATATATATGTGTATATATACATGAATATGTGTACGTAGATATATGTATATATAGATACACCCCTCCCCCAAGCCCTCCCGAGTCGTGCCACTTCCTTCCACGTATCTCAATTTCTTCCCTATACATATATACATTTATATATGTGTATATATACATATGTATATATACACATATATATATATACACGCGCCCCAAGACGCCTCCAGGAGAGCCCAACAGGCCTCCGAGAGGCCCCCAAGAGGCCCATTGGAGGCCCTCAGGAGGTCGTCCCCATCATGTTCCCGGAAGGCGGTCCGGGAACATGATTCCGCGCCTTGGAGGAGTATTCTGCGCTTTCCGAGGCGCCTTCCGAGGCGCCTTGGACGACGTACGTATGTTCTATACGATTGTCCTTCTCCTGTGTACACAATCCTACATGTCTTACGTATGTTTCTATAATTATCTATATATATATATATATATCTACAAGAGGCCCACTGGAGGCCCTCAGGAGGTCGTCCCCATCATGTTCCCGGAAGGCGGTCCGGGAACATGATTCCGCGCCTTGGAGGAGTATTCTGCGCTTTCCGAGGCGCCTTCCGAGGCGCCTTGGACGACGTACGTATGTTTCTATAGATTGTCCTTCTCCTGTGTACACAATCCTACATGTCTTACGTATGTTTCTATCTATCTCCATATATATGTATATGTATATGTGTGTATGTGTATATATATATACCCCTCCCCCAAGCCCTCCCGAGTCGTGCCACTTCCTTCCGCGTATTTCAATTTCTTCCGTATATGTATGTATGTATGTATGTATGTATGTATGTATGTATGTATGTATGTATTTATGTCTATGTATATATGCAGATAGTTATATGTATATATGTGTATGTGTATATATATATATATGGTCGCCCCCCCCAGCACCCCCCAAACCACCAAAACCACAAAACGATCATTGATTGTTTGCTCCTCCTCCTCCTCCTCCCTCGCCCTCCTCTTCCTCCTTCTTTCCTCCTCTTCCTTAACTCCTCCTCCTCTTCCTCCTCCTCTTTCTTCGCCAAACAGACTTGCGGGAGGAGGGTGGCCACGAAACCATGCTATTCACATTTTTTTTGTTGTTGTTTTTTTCGGTCAGGGAGGCAACCAAACACTGCTATTCACAGTTTTTTTGGTTTTCAGAGATCCATAATAAGCATGGCCAGGGGGTGTTGTGGAACGCCAGAAACCAAACAAAAACTTGTGAATTGCAGTGTTTGGGGAGATCATGGCAACGAAACCATGATATTCACATGTTTTTTTATTTATTTGTTTTAGGGTTTTTTTCGGTCCGACAGAAAACCAGAAAAAAACATGTGAATAGCAGTATTTGGTGAGAGCACGGCCACGGAACCATGCTTTTCACAAGTTTTTTTGGTTCTTTTCGGTCCGCCAGAAAGCCCAAACAACCAAAAAAACATGTGAATAACAGTGTTTGGTGGCCATGCTCTCCCCAAACACTGCAATTCACAAGTTTTTGTTTGATTTCTGGCGTTCCACAACACCCCCTGGCCATGCTTGTAGACTTCTGAAAACCAAAAAACTAAAAAAACCTGTGAATAGCAGTGTTTGGTTGCCTCCCTGACAGAACAAACCAACAATACATGTGAATAGCACGGTTTCGTTGCCATGCTGATGCTGTTGCTGTTGTTGCTCCCCTTCCTCATCCTCATCCTCCTCACCCTCATCCCCCTCATCCTCATCATCCTCATCCTCTTCTTCTTCCTCCTCATCCTCATCCCCCTCATCCTCCTCATCCTCATCCTCTTCTTCGCCATCCTCACCCTCGTCCTCCTCATCCTCACCCTCCTGCTGCTCCTCCGCCTCTTCCTCCTGCTCCTCTTCCTCCTACTTCTCCTCCTCCTCCTCCTACCGAACCCGCCAGGATCACAGTATGATTACAATCAGAATGCAGCAATAATTCTTCAACCCATCCCTCTTTCTCCAAATCAATGCGACGCAATGCGATTGCAGTGCAATGCAACGCAATGCGATCGAAATGCAGTGCAATGCAATGCACTGCGATCGCAAAGCAATGCAATGCGCTGCAATGGGATTGCAATGCAATGCAATTGCAATGCAGCGGGGGGTGGGGGGGGGGTTGTTGACAAAGGGGTCCAAGAAAAGGGGCATCTGCAAGATGGGGAAGCACGGCGCGAGGAGGAATGATGAGTAACAGGATCAACTGAAGATGGTGCTGTTTCGCACAGTTCACAACCGTCGTAATCAATATGCGTGTCCGCGCACATTTCGCATGAGCATTTCTATGGCACTCGCCCAACATATCACAACGCGGAAGACATCTACATCTGGAAAGCGAGCAAGCATAGACCTGAATGCATTCACATCAGCTCGCTTTGGTCGTCATAAGCAATATGCGTCGCTGCGCACATTTCGCCTGTGCGTTCTCGCGTCGCTCGCCAGGCCAGCTGCCGCTGGATCAGTCCGTAAGGTCACCTGGAAGCTCGCTCGCGCCGCCAACGCGTTCCGCCTCGACGCCATCGAGGAGCGTCTCCAATTCGGCTTCCAAGTCGACGCTATCGTCGGCCACCTCGATGGTCTCGCCGTGCGCCTGCGCCACAATGGATGCGAACATCGCCTGCTGCTCCTGGATGTCCACGGGTGAGAGCGGCCCGCCGCAGGCCAGACCCGTCCTCCTGGTCTTCCGCGGCGGAGTGACCAGGTCCTCGTGCGCGCCGTGGTGGGTCTTGGCGAGGCTGCGGAAGATCGCCACCTGCTCCCGATGGTCACCTTCCGAGAGCGCACCGTGGCAGCCGACTATCGGGGGCTGCACGGCGGGCGCGGCGCCCGCGGGCGCAGCCGCGCCACTCGGCGCACTCGCGTCGCCGCTCGATCCAGGAGCAGCACCCGCCTTCCACGGCACGGCGACGAAGGCAAACGTGCGTGGCCCCAGCGTTTGGCCAGTGCCATCCAGAGCTCAGGCACGGTGCGCGCGCACTCCTGACCGACCACAGGAGTGACTGCGCTCCGCCCTTAGGCCCAGGATGGCACTTGCCAATGCGGCGGCGGCACGTCGAGGCCCCCCGCGCAACCTTGGCCACGTGTGCGCAAGCCGCGTGCGCGAAAGAATGCGCGGGGTTGTGCCAGCATTCCCAGCACTGGTTCACCTTGGGAGCCATTGATCTGCGATAGCACCAGGGCTGACCGATCAAGTCTGAACGGGCCGAGCGAACATCTCCGAACGGCCAGCTGGGAGTCTTCGCGACCGTGGTGGCCCTGACCGCGGACGCGGACAATGGGGGGGTCGTTTCCGAGCCCGCGGCCGACGCAGGCCACGGGTAATTATCGTCCGCGCACTCATCGATCCAGTTGGCTGCGCTGGAGAGGCGGTACAAGAGCGCCATGGCGGCTACCAAGCAAACTAGCACCTCGTACGTTCGGGCCAGAATGCCAACTCTGCGCGCAGCGCTGCCGCAGAGCGAGCTGGCGACTACTCCTGCGAAATACCACGGTGCATTCGCCATGAACAGCTCATCGCATGACGCTTCTATCGGTGTGACAGCGCCGACATGTGACACACTCACTCACAAAGCAACCTGCTTTACAAACAATGGGGGAAGGAGATCATCTCCGCACTGAACAGAAGAAACCAGGTCCTGCTGGCCGATCGGCACCGAGGTGCTAGCGCAGCAACAAGTTGACGTGGGAGCCGCGGGCCGCCACTGTCGGCGTCGCCCTGGCAGCGGGGCAGCGGGCCGAAGCAGG